GATTGCCTATAGATGTAGACCTGGTATGGACAAGTATAATGAAATATGGGACTCATTTATACCAAATACAATAGGTAAAAAAAAAAAATGATAGTTTTGTAAGTGTATTAGAAATAAATATATTTATACTCACATAGTATATGCATTAGATAAGTATATATAGAATTGACAGTTTACTGTTATAATGATATATACTTTTTGATATATGTTTATATATATCAAAATATATATAAACATATATCAAATATAATATTTTTTTCTTTTTCATTTTTTTCACTTTTTTAAAGCACTTATGTGTTTTTTTTCTTTGACAATGTATATATTTCTGTCATGATTATCTTTGTATTTTGTTCCTTTTTCTTTTTCTGTCATTATTTTAAAAGCAATAAAATATACATTCTCCTTTGCCTACCTATATTTAGCTCAGGTGACAAAAAGGCATTATAAACAGAAAATGTTTATAGCTAAGAAAGCAAGCATGAACAGTTATGGCTTTTGCTTGACATGGCCAGAATGAACCCAGCTACTGCAGCAGCACAAACAATTTGATATAGTATCTCTACATGGCCAAATTTTGTTATACTGTTTGTAAAACCAGACACTCTTCGATTGCATCAGTGATCCTGCAGTAAATTATGCTGTTTAATTCTGTTTCATCTGCTGTTAACTTGTTGAAGTCTGGTCACAAATATCATCTCTAACTGAAGAAGCAAAAGAGCTTTCTAATCTACTCTGGATTCAATTTTTATAAAAGGGACTGCAAATTTATTTCAGATTTGGAAATGAATTGGATAGGAACTCATTATTGAAACGGGCTAATCATCCACCTGCTGGTCATCTTCCTATCCAATAAATGCTTCTGGAGAATTAAAAAAAACAAACCCAGGAGCCAACCAATTACTATAAAATAGTAAAAGAAGGTCCATTGTCTTAACTTTCACGTTATGAATTTCATTTCATTCAGCATTACAATAATGCTGGTATCTTACTGCAAACATTCTAATCTGTCAAAGAGTAAAAACTCCCCTACTCTTTAATGTTTATATAAACTTAGTGGTTGCTGCTCTTACCAAAACAGAATTTTACCCCCTTAAGCTCAGGGACAGACATTTGGCAATGCGGATGTATGCGGATGATGCAGCAATTCTCTTGCTTACCCAGGTAGAAGTTTATATGCCTTAGCAGAAATCTGCAGGGAGGAACGGCTTTCAATTAATTACTCCAGGACTAAAATTAGAGTTTTCTCAGAAAGACCTAGCCACCATAAACATCAGTGGAAAATAGGAATTAACAAAATAAACAAGTTACAGCTTTCGATTATATTGGAGTAATTTTTCAACTTTCTGGAAGTTGCAGGGACAATCTAGAGTCACTTCTGCCAAAGCCAATAATAGTGCCAAGGCAATTCTGGGCTCCTTTTACTTTCTAAGGATGCCATCAAATTTTCTTACCTGCTGCCTAAATCTGTATTGTATCTCAAATGCTGTATGATGCACCTAACAATGACCTAAAGCCCCTGGATGCTGTTCAATTTAAGGTTTTGCAAACACTCTTCCATGTCTCATGTTGCATCCCAAATGTTCCAACTCACATGGAAATAGGAATGAACCCACTAGAGGAAAGAGTCCAAGTTTGCTGACTCTCTTAGTGGCTCAAACCTCTATTTTCTGATGGCCCATTGGTTCTAATTCTTCTGGATGACTTTGAATCAAGATGGAAAGTAAAATTCTCAGCTGACCTGGGTCCCTGAGATCTTTCCATCCACTCTTTGCTACCTCTAGGCCTAGAGAAAGTAAACGCTGAGATTCACCAAAGAGTCTTCAATACTGCATGTAATTCAGACCTGCATTCTACAGACAAGCGTAGATTCCTTCCTGGAAACCTTTTAGACCTACCTATTCCATCTGGTGGCTCAGAACACTGTAAAGCCCCCCCCCCTTTTTTTTTGGCCTGCTTTAACATTTTACCCTTGGCACTATTGGATGGGAGGTTTCATAAAATCCCATTTAGTGAAATTGTCTCTGTGGTCAGAATGAACCTGAGACCTTCATGTACATATTTCTTCATTGTCTTTTCTATGAAGGCACCTATACCACCCCCTAGTAGAGATCAAGTTTTCAATGAGGGAGAGGTGGTGTATTTCCTACTCTCAGACTGGAACCCTGCTATTATAAACAGAGCTGCCAAGTTTTTATCAGCAGCTATTGCCATAAGAAGGCTCAAGGCGTCCTTAAACATGGAATGATGTCATTAGGAAGTCCTTTTATCTTTTTATCTTAATTTTATTTCTGTTTTGTTTTGTTCTCTTTTGTTTTCTTCTTCTACCTATAAATGTTAACTGGCAAGTCTAGATGCTGGCTTTATTGCTCTTATTGTATTTGAGCCTACTTTTATGTGTGGTTTTTTACTTGCTGTAGCTATTGCACTGGTCACTGACCATAAATAAATACAATTTCATTTCAATTTCATTAACAGATTTTGAAAAGACTTCTAAATAACTTTTTAATTTTTTAAAAAATCTGAAAATGTAATAGTGTTTTATGTCACGATTATTGAAGCAATCGTATCATTATTGATAGAACTGGGCTATCCAACAAATTCAGTGATCTCCAAGTCTCAGGCCAGCAAGGAAGAAGTGTCTGCATCTTCCTCATTTTTTAAAAAAATACCTTTCCTAATGTAACCAACTGAAGGAAAAATCTACACCAACTCCATGACTGATTTAAATCAGTCATATCAAGGCATCAGGAGGTCTTTGGATTCAACACATCTTCAGCACATCTCCTTTCCTCTTTTTTGGATGTTGGAATGTACCAGCCTCAGAGGTTGGTGAAAGAAATTGAAGTTCAGTTTTCTTTCTTGAGGTCAGAGTATTCTGTCTGCATTGGAAACATGCAAATAATCTTGTACAGTCTCAGGACCATAAGATTGCAACCTCAGGAAATGTTAATTTAAATTATCACAATTATTACTGCCATTTATAAGTGTTATTTCTCTTTTAAAATACTAAGCTAGAAGACTTCAAGAGTTAAATGCTAGAAAATCGCAGCAGTTTAACTTTTTTAAACCATTATTGCTCTTGAACCTTACAAAAATGTTAATACGGTTTTTAAGAATGATTCTGAAAACATTAATTTAATGAAAAAAAGGGCAGAAAAATCTCTGGGTGGTTGGCCTACTCACTAGATGGGAAAAGGCTTCTGACATAAAGGAGGCAGAAATAACAAAATATTTTTTAGGTTGCACAGATTAGAATTTGTACAAGTTCTGAAAACAAAAAAGAACAACTTAAGATATGTTGTGCTTATAATATTAAAAGAAAAAATTCTCATAGGACTTCTTTTCTTGTTTTCAAATTAGTGCATCTCTATATATAACTTTGACAGGAAATTTTGAAACAGCATATAATCTTATTAAATTATATAGATTAATGTTTATTCTCCTAAAACTAAAAAGGATAATAAAATGCACTTTAGATTTCAGTACTGTACAATTCAAGTTTTGATATTAGAAAAACTCAGGAAGCATTTAAGTTAACAACGGTTATGATGAAGATGGCCTACAATGGTCATGATGAAGATGGCCTGCACAACTGTCTTCAGTCATAGCCATAGTCCAAGTCATAGTCCAACTGAGTTAAACTTTAGCAAGACAAATCTATACGTAATTATATGCTGAGAAGTACTGTGCAGTGCAACAACGGAGAAATGGTACACACCTGCAGGTACACCTGCCTTCTTCCTATTCAGTTCGCTTTATCAGAAGTATGAGTTCAGCAAATTCTACTAACTAAAATATTTTACATTCTGTTTATCCACATTGTATAACAGATCTCATTATGATCAGCTCTGCCAAGTTTCTTCTTATTTTCCTGTTTGTAGCTTGTAATTAATTCTCAGTGGTGTCATTAAAAGTCCCTATACTCTGACATGTTATTATGTTGATATTTCCACAGAGTGCTGGTGCAGTTGCAGGAGGTCAGCCCATCTTCAGTCCTACTGATTTCAATTTTCATATAAGCCTAGCATCAGCATCATCTAATTAGTCTCAACTGATAGGCTTTGGCAACTTTGGCATCCTTGAATATTCAACAAAATGCACTGAAGATGGGAAAAAAGTGAATAATTATGAAAATTGTTTAAGAGTTCCGTGTGTGTGTGTGTGCCCGCACGCACACATGCGTTAAAAAACAACAACTAACAGTGAATTTTAAAACCTAGAAAGATCATTTGGTGAAATGGTTTACAGTTCTCACTAGTAGGTACAACGAAAAGTAAACAAGATTAGAAGACTCTGTTATCTCATAAACCAATTCCATTCAACATGCTATTTCTTGTCAAAACCAACTCTATTATACAATCCTCATTCTCATTTGTTTGTATTATCAAATCAT